GCCTACCCATTCTTTCATCTTCAAGGGTGCAGAGCAGTATAGATGATAGCTGTCTCAGAGGGACAGAAACAGAGGACATATCTGAAGTCACTCAAACTTCAGCTACTGTGCCACGCACGAAAGAGGAATGCCAATTGGCTGAAGATGTTCTTATAAAAGAAGAAACAAACTCAACACCACATTGTCTAGAGCAATATCATGGTTCTTTGGATGACATCACGTTTTCAATTCCTGAAATGCTCCGTGAATTGGGTTGCTATGCAAAACCACCTAACCAAAGTTTGTCACAGGATTGCAGAACTTCATCAACTGGAGATAACCAATATAATTTGTACGGGTTGCCAAATATTTCTTCACTGGAATTAGGTCAAGAGTTGTCACAGTTTCAAGCAATTGGATCTCAGGAAGCAGAGAATATATCCCATCAAACTTCTGCTGGATTGAGGGCATCTACTATCGAAAATATGGCCAGGGCTTCAGATAAACCTGAACATATGCTGATATCTGATTATGAATGTTGCAGGGTCCTTTTTTCAGATGCAATAAACAATGAATCTTTTCTTTCAGAAAGTACAACGGATGCCCGAGACATGGTTGAACCGAGTGGATATGCACATCCTTTGCAGTGTCGATCATCGAGCACAGATATGCAAGAAAGTAATAGAAACTTATCGTTGCAATCAGAGGTTCTGGATAACTCATGCTCTCAACGTTTTCTAGCTCCTCTCTTGGTTTCTGCTAATGATGATACATATGTATATACCAGTGAAACCAGTCATTTATTTGAATCTCTCGAACAAGAGCTTGTAGGTGATGGACAAAATGGCTTTATCTACACCAATGAATCTGCCGACTCTCCTCCGAACGACGGTTTAAAGAACACAGAACTCCAAAAGCAGCAGGGTTCAAAGGATTCATCAAAGCTTGTTCCTGTAAATACTTTTAGTTCAGAACCAAAAACTGCAGAAAGTTTTCCTTCATTTAGTGGAAGAGAGAATATTCATTCAGATCAACAGGACCTTAGAGCTCTTTGTTATGAGCCTCCTCGGTTTCCAAGCCTGGATGTTCCATTCCTTAGCTGTGATCTTGCACCATCCGCCAGTGATATGCAGCAAGAATATAGTCCACTTGGTATTCGTCAACTTATGATGTCTTCTATGAACTGTCTTACGCCATTTAAGCCATGGAACTCACCGTACCGTGATGATAGTCCCGTTGCTGTGCTGAAAAGTGCTGCTAAAACATTCACTAATACTCCATCGATTTTGAAGAAACGCCATAGAGAGCTCTTATCTCCTCTATCCGAGAAACGATGCGACAAAAAGCAAGAGATTGATGTTGGAATTAGTAGAACATCACAGAGTAACCCTCCATCACATCAGACAATCAATTCTAGAAACTCTGAAGACAAGGAAAATATCAGTCCAGAGAGAACTTCATATAGCTGCAGTTTCCAGGAGAACAAAATGCAAGAACTGGTTGGCCAAATAGTGAGTTGTTTTCTATGTCTTCTTCTCAAATTATTTTTGATTTGACTCATAAAATCACCACAAGAGAGTCACCTTTCAAATCCCATTACGCAGGTCCAACAGCCTTCACTTATTCTTGTTGAATGTGATTCAAATGACGAAACTTCTGAAATTCCGTGTAGTAGAACCTCAACAGCTTTACAAGATCAAGAATTCCCGAAATTATCTAACGATCATTGTGCAGTTGCAAACTGTTCTGTTGCCAGTGGAACGAGCCACGGAAGCCGTCCTCCAGCAACTGTGCCCCCTGAGGCTATTGGTGATAATGCTTCGAAGGAGTCCTCTATTGAACCCGCAACCATGTAAGATTTACTTTATAATGCCCCAACTCTGAGTTCCGTAACAGTTTTAATTGCTTCATCTTTCAAAACAATTATACTTTATGATGCCATCTTGCATAAATCCTTTTATCCATGGCGTTTTACGTTGGAGTTTACTATATGGCCTCTCAGTGACGATGTTTGTTTCTAGATTCGGTGGAACTCCATTCAATAGAAGCATTGAATCTCCTTCAGCATGGAAGTCTCCCTGGTTCATCAACTCTTTTCTATTTGGTTCAAGAATGGACACTGATGTACCAATGGAGGTATCACTATTGTCTATAATAATTATTATTATTTTTTCTTAAATTACAAATTAGTTTTGAATTTTTCATAATTACTGGTTGTCTAAAAATGTTGAATAGGTTCTTAAATCCAACTAGCGTAATAGATACCTAAACTTAAAAGTTTCTAATAGGTTACTTTAAATTTTGATGTCCTCTACGTGCTCAAATGATCAGAAACCTATGACTTATTTGATACAATTATATTTTTATTTGTTTTAAGAGTCCTATTTTGGAATGTATTTGCAGGATGTTGGATACTTGATGAGCCCAGGGGATAGGAGCTACGATGCAATTGGGCTAATGAAACAGGTAGGCGAGCACACTGCCGCTGCGTGTGCGAATGCTCAGGAGGTTCTGGGAAATGAAACGCCACAATCCTTATTGAAAGGAAGACGTGGGAAATATGAGAACCAGACCAAGGAGAAGAATCATGTAAGCAATTCACTACAAGGGGTCCGTTCCACTTTGACGCTGGATATTATGGTACGTTCTCTCTCTCATTTATCAACCCATTCTGCCTATTATTTAAAATTTTCAATTAATTTAGATGTTTACAAATTAGTTAATTGATAAAGTTTCATAACAAAATAGAAATTTAGCGAAGTAAAAAACCCATGTAGGAGAAAGTTCCTTGTTTTGTTTATGTAATAAAAAAAATAATAAATAAAAGGACATCAAATAGGTTATCAAATGAAGATATAGTTCTTAGTTTTTTATTTTTGAAAAATTAAGCAAGAAAAGAGCATAATTTTCAAACATAAAAGATTAAACGGATACCTTTTCAAATTGCCATTTTTATTGTTTTCGAAATTTGATATAGAATTTAAATGTGCTTTTTAAAAAGGGTAAAAGTTGTAATAAAAATATGACAAAATGGTTATCAAACTAATCAAACGAGCCCCTAAGGAATAGGTATGAATTTTAATTTCTCTTATATAATCAAAATTTTAACCTATAATCAAAATTTTCTGGGAATAGTAAGGCATTGGACTGAAATGTTTTAAAATGAGACTCTAAAATTGGAAACCATAATTAGCATATAATTAGTTTATAGTTCACGTTTTTAAATTTACAAATCTAACAAAATTTAGGAATATGTTGTGTTTTCTAAAGTTGATTTATCTTATTTTTCTAAAAATAAATTTTAAAATATTTTTTTCGATTAATGAATTTTAAACATTTCAATTAAAAATTTTATAAATTTGTACAGATATCTTCAACTTTTTTTTTCTATCGGTACGTGTGTGTGCGAGCGAGAATAAAATGTCTCCTGGTAAAAAAAATAAATAATAATAATTCATTAAATTTTGGAAAATCGTGTCATAGAATGAAGTAATTTAAGAAACAGAAGGTTGTGATAAAATTTTGTACAAAATTATTACTTTAAATGAGAAATACCAAAGTTGGAGTAATCCCGAATTTGTGCAGGCGGAGCGACGGATTCTGGACTTCAGCGAATGTGGGACACCTGGCAAAGCAACCGAAAACGGAAAATCCTCTACGGCAACGGCAACGGCAACGGCAACGGCAACGGCTAGGAGCTTCTCGAGCCCCTCTTCTTACTTACTAAAGGGCTGCAGATAGAAATTTCAAAAGGCTTAATTTATTCCATCAAATGTATGTTGTTGTTTATGATTTGAGTTTGTATGTCTTTTAAATTGTTTCCGTTTCGGGGAAAGGACAAACATATTGTATTCTTTAATACATAACATAGATAAAAAATATATGATTACTAAAAAGTTATTTAAAACAAGAAAATAAAAAACAAAAAAAAAAATATAAAATTAATGTTTATAAGCTTAAATAAAAGAAACAAATAACAAGAAATGAGGCTACAAAATCAAATTTAAAATGCTCACATAAATTAAATGTGTTTTAGTTTCGAATTTGAGTTTAATACATTTTAAAAAAAAAATTATTTAATGGAACCTTAAATTTCATTTTTGTAAAATGCTCACATGTGCATGCTTTCTTTGTAAAGCTATTTTCATGTCAGAGATTTTTAAATTTGAAGATAAAAAAATAATGTTGACTTTTAGTTGACTTTTACGAGCACAAAATTTAGCTATGCGACAATATTAAACACAACCACAATATTTCAACGATGTGTTTAATATTGTCGCATAGCTCTCTCTGATCAAATTAATCATGGAGTATATCAAGCTTATCAATTATACAAAGGAGGTTCAATTTTGTGTCTAATTAATCTTAAGTCTCACTAAGTGTTGTATCGAAAGGTTAGAAGATCTATTAGAGATAAATTAAAAAATTTAAATATGTATTAGACACTTTAAAACTTCTAAAAATTTCTAACTAAACTTATTAATTTAATTTTAGACATTTTTTTTAAATAAAATAACCTTAAATTCTTTGTAAGAGGATTACTTTTTTATAGCTTACCAGAGATTTCAACCATACAAGGGAAAATTCAAGAATTCAGTGAAAGGGAATCAGTTCACTTGTGGTTAAACTAGATTTTCTATTTTATACAAAAGTCAATTCATTGGATATAGTTCTTCAGAATTAAATAGTATATATATATATATATATATATATATATATATATATATATATGTTAAAATTCAGTAGCTCTAGATTCCATCTATGAAGAAATCACATTTTTATATGTTTGAAATTGATGAACTCCATGAATTTGTAAATGACATCATACCATACTCATTTAATCTATCAGATCAATTTCATCAATAACTAATAAAGAAGATGACATTCATGTAATTAAATGCATATACAGTAGACATGATATTTCATATTTTGTAGTTTTTTTTTTAATTATTATTATTTAGCAACAAAAAAAAAGAGGAATAAAATTGATTTTATATTTGAGGCTTATGGCCAAAGAAATAAATAATTGTTCATATCATAAAAAAAAAAGTGTAAAAAGGAAAAATACTTGGTTGAAGTTCATTACCTGTAAATTTTCACCAATTCTCCACCGGGCAGCCATAACGGAGTATGACTTTCAGTTCGTTTCCTTTAGCTGAAATTTCGAATGGCTGCTGCTGCATTATAATCACATTTGATAGAATTACAAATATAGCTATATCATTTAGTTTATAAGGCTTACCTTCTTGCAAGTAATGGCACCAAAATTGAGGTCAATTGGATCCAGACAATGAGATCTGTCATAAACGACCGCCAGTAGTAAAAATGAAAACCTATTAGCGAACTACAAAAAATGAATTAGTTGTGATAAATTCGTATAGTATACCGCAGAAGAGCACAGTTATGGTTTCATGGAGAAATCGAAAGAGCAGTAGAAGTTATTAATTCTAGAAAATTCGCATCTCATAAACTGCTTTTGACTTCTGCAGATTTTACGTACTCTTAAATGAAAGTATTGATATGGACATTGACCAAAAGATGCTGGTAGAAACACTAACATTTTGCCTCTTCTTCTACATTCGGATTAACGAAACTAGTAACGATTTGAAGAGAGAATATCGAGAGAATCCACCTAAATATACAGTAAAAAACCTTTCCGTTTTTCTGCCGTTTTGTTGTTGTTTTCAGATGAGGCAAACTTTAGATCAAGCAGCTAGAACCGGAGAAAAGAACAGAGAAATCAATCCGATAAGGATCATGCACTCAATAATCTTGGTAGAATAATAAAGAAAGATGACTACGATCGTCTTCCATCAAATTTAAGGCACAATAAATCCACATTATCTCACTTATTTTTCAATTTCCACTGATTTGAAGTTGAAAATAGGAAAATAAATCAAGAAACGAGACAGGAAAGGGAAAACAAAAACGATTTAGCTAGGAAGAAAAGAAAAAAAAAAAAAAAAGAAAGAATCTAAACTCCTAGTCCTATTGGAGGAGCGTATTCACAACCGAGCAGAGGAGACATATTTGATCAGATTTAGAGATAGCGAAATAATGCAAACCTGCATCACGAAGATGAACTCGTACGAACAAAGAAAGCAGAGATTGAAATTGAAACTGCAAAAATTCCAGAAATCTGCATCGAGAGAAGTAGAGACGAACTCTTGTGAAAACGTCCATCAGAGAACCTCCCGTCTTCTGACAACCCACACTCACAACGGTTCGGAAACGGCAGTTCATCTCAGTTAAAACACGCCTTTTATACTCACTTTTTTTAACCTGACGCCCATTTGAAATTTTTTTAGCGAAAATATCTCAGTTTATTTCAAACATCCGAAAATGTATTAAAATAATACTCATATAATTCATACTATGATTTTAATTTTATTAATACTCCCAAACCTCACAATAATTTTAGCAGAATGTTAAGGCCGTAAGTATCTACTAAAGTCTATGAATTAAATTTGTAATTTCAATTTTAAAGCTTAGAAAATGTCAATGGAATTTGGCGAATCTCATTAACTAGCTAAAAAAAACAATAAACTTTGGTTCGAGAGGATAATCAGCCATCCCGAGACTAAGACACGGCCCAAACTCCTACGAGAGATAGCTGTGAAAAATTTTCCACAATGGGCAAAAGTCCAATGAAGCAATGCTACATGGAGCTAGAAGACCTATAGGTCGTGAACTTCTTTTTCCGGAGAAGAAGCAATTTCTTTAGTTTGTCGGGAGCCAAAACTTATTGGGTGAGACCAAGAGAAAGAAATGACAAGAGACAACCATGCATGATACTTCTCGACCATGTCTTCATGGGATAGTCGACTCATGAATGCTCCCGGATTTTTTAAATAAATTCCAAAGCATCAAAGCATTAATGGAATACATTATGATAAAAATAATCTTTTAAGGGATGAGATTAAAAAAGAAAAATAGTAAAAAAAAAAAAAAAAAAAAAAAACCTTTTTTTAATGGAGTTAGGAAAGGTGCTAAGCGATAGAAACAAAGCCATAAAAAGATGGTTACAGAGAAAAGTTAAATAAAACCTAAAAGGAGAAAGTTTCAACGAGCTCTTTCATCACTCTGCTCCTCAAAAGAGTGCAAGGAGAGAATCGAGCAATTCTATAGACTATTCACAAGTTATGAAGATTATGGAAACAGATGATGAAACCAAATCTCAACAAAAACAGCCACTCCCTCCCTCCCATCCAATCCCCGTAATCGGTATCGAGTATATCTTTATATGGCTGCAACGGATCCTCAACGAACCGAAATTTACCTGTCGTTACCTGTATCGAAGGAAAATTTTATCACACAATGTGCCTGTTTGAGTTAGCATGGTTCGTATGGGATGTTACTTCATCGTAGCTATCAAGTTCATCTTCATCATCAGAGGATAAGAGAGAAGATCCCATCCAAGCTTTGAATCCTTCATTGACACGCCTTTCGACATCCGGGGAGATTTCCAAAGGATTTGCTACCAACATTTCCAGGCCGAGGTTTCTTCCACCGAGGTCTCCCTCGCTGAGAATTGTAGCTGCTTTTCGTCTTAAGAAAAAGGCAGTTCCTCCATAGAGAATAACTAGACCCCATGATGAGATCTCATAGCACCAAAACAGGGGCACAGAGCAGCTGCCACCCAAGGTGAGAAGACTTGAACCAAGAAATAGTGCCAAGAGGCCAAATATGATGGCAAAAATAACATTTAGGATGGTAAGACAGCGAACGCCACCTACAAATAGCCACATAAAATAAATCTATAAATGAAAATTTGAACATGTACAGACTAACACTTTTTCTTAGTACGACATTTGTTTTGGGGTATGAAGATTTAATCCTCCAACTTCGAGGAAAGAGTATATGTAACGGTCCAAGTCCACCGTTAGCAAATATTATTCTCTTTGGATTTTCCCTTTCGGGTCTCCCCTCAAGGTTTTTAAAACACGTCTGCTAGGGAGAGGTTTCCACACCCTTATAAAGGATGCTTCGTTCTCCTTTCCAACCAATGTGGGATCTCACAAACAATCCACCCCCTTCAGGGCCCAGTATCCTCGATGACACTCATTCCTTTCTCCAATCGATGTGAGACCCCCAATCCACCCTCTTTCAAGGCCCAACATCTTTGCTGGCACACTGCCTCGTGTCCACCCCCTTTCGGGGCTCAACCTCCTTGCTGGCACATGACCCAATATTTGGCTCTGATACCATTTCTAACAGCCTAAATCCACCGCTAACAGGCATTGTCTTCTTTGGGTTTTCTCTTTCAGGCCTCCCCTCAAAGTTTTTAAAACGCATCTACTAGGAGGAGGTTTTCACACTCTTATAAAGGATGCTTCTTTATCCTCCCCAACCGATGTGGGATCTCACAGTATATGTCAATCATGATTGAGCTATGCTCGCGTTGACAATCACGTGGGACACTTTTTATCATATTATATTTAACAAGAAAATAAGTTGCGGATGAAATGGAAGGGTTGCTTTTGCCCTTACACCAAGAAGAGGGGAGACAATAGAGAAACCAGAAAACTGAAAAGCATCAAGCCCTCAAATTAACCAAAACTAGAAGAAGACGGAATAAAATAAGCCAGCCAAGCAGGGGACAAGACAATGCATTTTTAGACCAAAAGGAAGTATGAAATCTCATATTATTTCAAAAAATAACTACATAAACCAAATAGAAAAATAAAATTTCTTTAGGCATTGAAAATTCAATAAAGCAGCAAAGCAAAATCCAAACTTGAAAGCTTTTAAACTAACATAATTCCTTCTATTATAACATCCATAATTAACGATAATAAATGACATGTTGACTTACAAAAGCTGATAAGGAGATAAGATAGGGCTTTACCTCTCCTTGATGCACAGTAGCTATTCTCAACTACCTTCAAGCAACCGTGTCTACTTGGAGCAGAATAAGCAACAGCTATGCCTGCAATATAAGTTAATTGATTCAGAAGATGGTAGAAAGTAACCCAACACCTTTAGTGATAATTGCACTCTTAAAACAAAATAAATTTGTAGATTTCAAACAAAGGAAGGTCTGAAGTCTGATTGTGTACATCATGATAACAAATATATGGTACCCACTAAATGATCCAAAGTCAACCCATTATAGGGATCAACACTGACTTCCATTAGCTCGTCTCTGACTGCCGTAATCGGCAAGTCATCTAAAAGTTAAGAATATAACATTTCCAGAGCTTTGTTTCTAAGGTAGAATGTAGCACAAACCAATCTGCAAACACGCAGCTATAGAGGTCAATAAATCTAAACTCTCCAAACGAAGTTTCGGTACAAACATTTGAGTAGTGACTCGGAACACAAGAGGCTCGATTATAAAGAAAAAATGAAACTAAAAGCTCTTTTATCCTAAGAATGCATAACAAAATTAACAAGGAAAGAACTCTAAACAGCTAAGACCATAGATAAAGTAAAAGCTAGGCAGACTTATATTTACAGTAACAATGTAACAGCCCAAACCTACTGCTAACAGACATTGTCCGCTTTGGCCTATTACGTATTGTCGTCAGCCTCACAGTTTTAAAATGTGTCTACGAGAGAGAAGTTTCCACACACTTAGAAGGAATATTTCGTTCCCCTCTCCAACTAATGTCGAATCTCACAATACACTCCCCTTAGGGCCCAACGTCCTCGTTGGCACACCGCCCAGTGTCGTGTCTGACTATGGTACCATCTGTAACAACTCAAACTCACTACTAGCAGATATCGTCTGTTTTGACCCGTTACGTATCGCCGTCAACCTCACGATTTTAAAATGCGTCTATTAGGGAGAAGTTTCCACAACCTTATAAGGAATATTTTGTTCCCCTCTCCAACCGATGTCGGATCTCACAACCAATGCTTACCCTACTATTAAAGTAATTGCATATTTCTCCCTCAACAGGTGTAAGGAAAAGCCACCAACACAACAGAAGTTTATATCTAAAATATAGATGATGGTTCTATCAAATGGAAGTGTAGATGTAATTAGGGTACAGGATTGGTGCATAGCTGGGTAACCATTGATGTAAAGATAAAAATAAACAGTCAAAGAATTCTAATTCAAATAGCAAAAAAGAAACGTTAATACTAAAATAATTGCAAATCAATAGTCCTTGGTCATCAGCAATCACATCGTGATGACTAAGTTTTTTCACGACATATTGCCTTGAAGGAAATCATCCAGCCTTTCTTCCATAAGCTTCCTCGAAGGTAATAACTGTTAATTTATCCTATATGGTAACAAGTCATTGAATCTCTTAGCCAAGTCTCAGTCTTAACCCATTACAGAAATTAATCAAATTGAAGTCCCTAATTCTCCGAGCAACAAGTCAAAATCTTTTATAATCAAGAACAAGTCCTCTGTTGTCCAATTCACTCGCAACGAGTCAAAATCTTACTGATTGAACAAAAGAATCTAAAAATCTCGGAATCAAAATTTTCTGCTAACGCTTAAAACGTAGAAAGACTTTCTTACCTGCAATAAGATAGACAACCGATGCAAGAAATGCGAATGCTGAGGGGATGAACACGAGCATCCAAAAATAGTCCACGATTTCTTGATTGGTAAGGTAAAAAGCTCCAACAAAATGATCAGAATCGCCTCCTTTCCCGTTCATAGGGAGAGGCTGAAGCCTCCTGTCACTGCAGAACGGTCTATTTCCAATGTCGCCGGGGAAGACTATTTTCAAACTGATAGTAGTGCATACAAGGATTGCGAGCCCTATCAAAACCACAAAAGCCATTACCAGCGGTTTCTGAATCTTGCCCCAAGCCTTTTCTTCTTCGCGAAGATTCTCATACTCGTGCTTCGGCATGAACGCCTGGCGAAGCGCGTCTCCAATAATTTCCATTCGAGCCAGAAAGAAAAATCTTCGTCGCGCAAAATCGAACTCAACACCAATCAGGAAAATACCTAACTGAACAGAAATCTACTTTTCAGAACCCTAAATCTTCACATTTCGCATATAAAATGGATCACACGAACCATCGATGTACATCCAGCCCGAATAAGTACCGTAATTACAACTACTTAGCAGAAAGCTTTGGCGAAATATCAATAAATTGTGGTTTCCCGAAAAGAAAATTGAAATTCAATCTTGGTTCAAGAACCTTCTGATGATCTCCGATGGACCCTAATTGAAATGGCGGTGGACGAGGAAATGCTTGCTTACTGGAGAGATTGAAAGAAAGAAAGTGGTGAACTGGTAGCGTAGCTTACAGGTTAGATCTGCAATTTACAATCGCCAACAAATGTGGCACGATATTCGGGATTTGGCGGTTCTGTGTGCAATGATCGGCGACTTCCGGCAACCGCATCGTTAATGTTTTATTGTTATTATTAGTATTTTCTTAAAAGAAAAACTATGGAAATTACCCTTTTTATTAAAATAAATAAATTAAAAAAATACTCCAGGTCGAGACTTTGAATTAGATACAGAAAATACAAAATTGTAGAAATAGAGATAAATCTTTTTTTTTTCTATAGTTGATGATTGGTCGTTTTTGTTGACTTTTGATGAGATTTTTTTTGTAAAAAAATTTATTTATGAATTGTTTCACGATATATAATGAGTCATAGAGGACAACATCTGCTAGTGATAAGTGTGAATCATTACAAATGGTATCAGAACCTAATACTCGACAAGTGAGCCAACGAGGACATTGGCCCCAAGAGAGTGGATTGTGAGATCTCACATCTGTTAGAGAATGAAACAAAACATTTTTTATAAGGGTGTGAAAACTTTTCGTTGGTAAACGCGTTTTTAAACCGTGATGCTAATTGTCATATATAACAAGTTAAAGTGGACAGTATTTACTAACCATAGACTTAGGTTCATAATTTTAGAATGATTGATTATTTATGACTTATATATATTTAATCTATCGACTTTTTTTTCTTTCCAAAATTTATCTAATTATTTTTCATTTACATCTTTCAATTAAAGATTATTAAAAATACAAAAAATAAATTTAAATACTTGAAAGACAACAACTGATTGCTTCATGGATTTCGATAATAAGGATTTATTTATTTATTTTTAAGATAAATAAATTCCCATAATATGGTTTGGAATTTCGGAATATGAATTAGTGCGTGCCCTAGTTATTGTTTAAAAGTATGTTACTAAACTAACCACCAATGAAAAATATACACGTGGAGAGCAAACTTAATGGAGTAGATTATTTACGTTGACCATCAAGTTTTTTTATTTATTTTTTAAGAGTTTCAAACCTAAAAGCGCAAGAAAATGTAGAAACTGTTTAAATATTAATCTCTTTCAAAAAAGACTTTCTATAATATTTTAAAAAATAAATAATAAAAATATCATTTAAAAAATACCCAAACTTTTTTTTTGGATTTTTAAATTATTAACTTTTAAAACGGGTTTATTTATCTTTATCATATGATGGAACCATCTAATTTTAAAAGTATCTATAAATTCTAAAAAATAATATTAACAGTAATAAGATAAATGGTTTTCGTATATATTGACAGTATAAACTTTTTAAATTTTTTTTATAAAAATGTTAATGCTATCTCTAACCTTTCATGGATATTTTTTAAAACATAGAAGTATATTAATAACATTTTTTTTAATTTAAGCATATTTTAAAAATAAAATAAAAAATTTAAGAATATTTTTGAAATAAAATACCATTTCTATCCAAAGTTAATAATATGGTAAATGTATTAAAATATATATATATATATATATATATATATATATATATATATATATATATATAAATATTAAAATTTAAAATTATTTTTGAGGTAAAAGTATCTAATTTAAGAATATTTTTGAAATAAAATACCATTTCTATCCAAAGTTAATAATATGGTAAATGTATTAAAATATATATATATATATAAATATTAAAATTTAAAATTATTTTTGAGGTAAAAGTATCTAATTTAAGAATATTTTTGAAATAAAATACCATTTCTATCCAAAGTTAATAATATGGTAAATGTATTAAAATATATATATATATATAAATATTAAAATTTAAAATTATTTTTGAGGTAAAAGTATCTAATTTAAGAATATTTTTGAAATAAAATACCATTTCTATCCAAAGTTAATAATATGGTAAATGTATTAAAATATATATATATATATATATATATATATATATATATATATATATATAAATATTAAAATTTAAAATTATTTTTGAGGTAAAAGTATCTAATTTAAGAATATTTTTATTAATTTAACTAATTTATAATAAAAAAAACTTGAAAAACTGCTTGAAATAAAAATTTAATTTAATTCCGACCGTTACCCGCTAACCCAGATACCGAAAAATGTTGAGCAATGATTGGCCAGTTTCATGGTCGTGCGTCGCAGTGGATACTTTCCCGGAAAAAAGCCGGCGATCCATGTAGTGGTTAAACAAAGAACCGGAACTGCTTGATGGAGAAAAGGTCGGTCGAGCCGAAGGAATGGACGGCTTCCACCTCAGTACTACACAACGAAAGTGGATCGTATTATTACACGTGGCGCAATGTCACTGGCCTTCTGTTGAAGTTCCATCTAAGCCCATGGGAAGGCAAACTAAAATGCGTCGAGAAAAAAAAGAAAAAAATAAGGAAAAGGGGAAAGTTTTGTTTGTTTATCGAGAGAAAGTGGGGTCACTGGCGATCTCGCGGCCGGAGAGCGTTTTTTGAGAGAGTGGACGGTGTATTCAGCTATTTGGCCGGAAAATAATTTCCGTCGACGGTGGAGATTTGTACGGTTGACGGAATAGGAATTTTTTCTTCCGATCCGGCAGTGTTATTTGCGCGGAAGAGAGATGGTGAATTCTGTGGTGGCGCGTGCTACGAGCGATATGTTGATTGGTCCAGATTGGGCTATGAACATCGAGATCTGTGATATGCTCAACCATGACCCTGGGTACGCATTGCATCCGATTCATTGCTTCATCGTTTTTCGTTTTTCTTTCTTGTTTTTGTAATAATTTATCAGTTTGAAGAAGCTGCATTATCTGTTCTTATTTTCGTGTTTGGTTGCTGAGAATCCGTTCGGCACAAAAATAAATGAGCACTGGAATTCTGCCTTTGGAATTTTGAATTTGTTGTATTTTCAAACTGAAGATTGAAGACAAGCCGAATGGAAATTGGCATCTTCCCTGTGTTATTTATCTGCATTCAAATGGAAGTTATAATTTGCGACTCAGCCACTAACGGTTCATGCATCCCGATAAATAAATGAGTAATTTCAGCCGGTTTTGCTCCTGACTAAGGCTGAGGATTTTCTATTAGGTTTTCGTTTAATTTGATTCCTTGATGAGGAAGAATCTGACGATGCTTCCGTTTTTTCATTGGACGATGGTTTGGATTTATCATGTCTCTCTTCCAAGTTTCTAACCTTTAGGCTTGGAGTTCACTATTTCATTGGCAAATTTTCAGGCAAGCGAGGGATGTTGTTAAAGGTATAAAGAAGCGCCTTGGAAGCAAGAACGCAAAAGTTCAACTTCTTGCCCTGACGGTAATTCCTAAGTTCTGACTAATTTTTAATTTTATGCAATCGGTGGCTATTGCCTTTATTGGCATTATCTACTCTATTAATTGCACAGTTTTTTTAGAGGTATCTGCTAGAGGTTTCGGTAAAAGAAACCTTCTCTTTGCATAAAAACAGAACAGGTTCTTTGATAGTTGAGTACCACGCATATAGATTCAAAAGTAATGCAGGGAGTTCCTAATTTGAGTTTATTGTTCTTGCTGATCCACTTATTAAGCTTGCGTACCTTGTTTCCTGAAGCAATGTGCAGTTAACTTAATCTTGGTATTCTATGTTTTTAGATGATGAAGTTGATTTTTGATTTTGTCATATCTCTACATTCTAGCTGTTGGAAACAATCATTAAGAATTGTGGGGACATTGTTCATATGCATGTGGCAGAGAAGGGTCTTCTTCATGAGATGGTAAAAATGGTGAAGAAGAAGGTAGGATTTTATCTAGAATGTTTTTGTTGCTTTCTTGCGTCACCCATCGTTCTTTCCTCGAATAACATCTCAGCAATTCTGGGCATGATATAGCCTGATTTTCGCGTCAAAGAGAAGATATTGACTCTGATAGATACTTGGCAAGAAGCTTTTGGAGGAGCTAGGGCGAGATATCCACAATATTATGCTGCATACCATGAATTGTTGGTAAGTGTTGAAAAACATTCTTTTAAGCCCAATGATGCTGATTGAATTCATTAGAAACACTTCATTCTTTGAACTTCTGGCATCTTCGCAAAAGTGTGCGCATCATCTCGTTCTATTTTCTCATGGATGCACCATCTTCTGCTGGTTATCATGACATGAGTATGCGAGTCGATACCTTCTTTGTTTCAGCGTGCTGGGGCAGTTTTCCCCCAGAGATCTGAGAGCTCTGGGCCTGTATTCACCCCCCCACAAACACAACCGTTGGTATCTTTTCCTCCTAATCTGCGGAACCCCGATCGTAATCAGCAAGATGATGCTGAGACCTCAACGGAGTCCGAGTTTCCGACTTTGAGGTGGGCAAACTTCTTTTACTATCATTTTCCATCATCACAGTATTCTTGTCTGTTTTATGAATATAGTTAATATGGAACTATGAAACTGATATTGGTTCCATCTTTTCAGCCTGACTGAAATTCAAAATGCCCGTGGCATTATGGATGTCCTTTCAGAAATGGTTAATGCATTAGAACCAGGGAATAAAGAGGTACTTTAGCAGTTTAAAACGAAAGCAAAACTATGTTTATCTCATGACATACTGGGATTTTTTTTATAATTCTTCCGTTGATCCACACTTTCTGTGGATTCTCAACTCTAATGACGTTGGGATTTCTTCTTGCCAAAAAAAATGTTGGGGTTTCGCATCTTGCAGGCTATCAGGCAGGAGGTTATTGTTGACTTGGTTGAACAGTGCCGTACTTACAAGCAGAGGGTGGTTCACCTTGTTAACTCAACCGCGTAAGACCTCATATCGCACTTATAGTTGCTGCTATTGATAGAAGAAATGTTCTACATTTTTTTTTTTGGCTTCACGACATTATATTAATTTTGTTGGCGATGTCATTTTCATACTCCCGTCCACATTTCCTTACTCATCCGTACGTGGGAGTTAAAAAAGAGGAATCCAACAAGAAAGCTCTCAATCTTGAAGCAACGGCCTTCTTCCATCGTCCCTTTCAGTGATGCTTTATTTCACCCAGGATTTCTAGCATATGCTCCCAAAATCCTCCATCTCCTCGCCTTTTAGATTTCTTCTGACGTTTAATTTTCAACTTCTGATTCTAGCAACCCCAGCTTCAATAGTTGAGATTTCGTTTTCCTTCGAAATAGCAAAGATTCTTGCATAAACCATCATAAGTGGACTTTAGTAGCACACCAATTCTAGCTGATTAATCTCATATAATCTTATCCTTCGATGTAACTGTACTACACTACATTAATGAACGCTAATTGGAGTCATATTTTATGTAATGCGTGTATTTGTGTTTATTTCGTAATGCTGGTGCAGAGATGAGTCACTACTTTGCCAAGGACTTGCACTTAATGATGATCTTCAGAGGCTACTTGCGAGGCATGAATCGATTTCTTCTGGGAAACCTGTTGCTCAGAACCCAAAGTCTGGATCTGCTACAGCACACGTTGATGGAGACCGGCCTCTTATTGACACTGGAGATAACAGCAAACAGCCTGAGACAAAGTAATTATGTCTTTTGGAGTTGATTTCTTTTTGCAGTATGCTAATTCATGGTATATTGCATGTATTTGATTGAACTTTTTGAATGTCAAGATTAATGCTTGTAAGGTTTCATGGAATGCTTAAATATTTGATTCTGGTCATTTAAGTCACGACTGCCTTATGTTTGGTTGTGCATTGACGTTTAATTGTTATGCAGAGCTGCCTCAAATGCCGGTGAAGGTTCTCAAATCCTGAACCAGGGGTTGCTGCCGGCACCTGCTTCAACTAATGGTCCAGCTCCTCCAAGTAGGGTTGAACCCAGTGTGGACCTGCTAAGCGGTGACTTCAATTCACCAAAGGCAGAGACTTCATTGGCTCTTGTTCCTGTTGGAGAGCAACAACCTAATAATCCTCCTGCATCCGATCAAAATGCTCTTGTTCTTTTTGACATGTTCTCTGATGGTAACAATGCCTCTAATCCTGCAAATCCCCCTCCTATCAGTCCCGGTGGGCAATCCCCCCACCCACATGCTTCCCAATTTCAACAGCAACAGCAACAGCAGCAGCAGCCAAATGTTCACTCCCCGCAGGCTGGATTTTATCCAAATGGGAACGTTACGAACATGGGTTCGCCTAATTATGAGCAATCGATGTACATGCAGGGCCCAGGTTCTCCCTGGAATGGTCCAATTACTCAGCAGCAGCAGCAACTGCAGCAGCCCCCTTCACCTGGCTATGGTACTTTCATCTCATGCTCTTGCATTATTGGCTCTGATTGAAAGGCTAGATCATGATTAGAACATGGCAGAATTCTCCATCTTTGTGTTTCCATATGTGCTCAATCCTGGGAGTGACAAATTCTCTATGTTCTTTCTGCTAATGTTCTGTTGCTTCTCTTAGTTATTGCATGAATTTCACCTCCATTTGCTTGGAATTTTTTGTTGTTTGGGGTTCGACATGAACATATGCAAGGCTTACATGATGTTTGGTTGTGACAGGTTTGCAAACAACCGGCGCATTGCCACCTCCTCCCTGGGAAGCTCAGTCTCCTGATGGTGGCAGCCCAGTATCAGGTTCTCATTACTCTCAACCAATGCAGGTTACTACTCAGGTTATTGTCTCACACGGACTCGGTGGACATCCCCAGGGACCTCAATCCATGGGGAATGAGGTTGTAGGCATAGGTATGTACATCCAGTCCATGACGAGTGGTCAAATGTCTAACGTCAATAGCCATGTTAATCCGAGCCATCAGTTGTTGCACCCACAGCAGATCCCAGGCATGCAAAATATGGTCATGGCAATGCCTCCACAGCATCCGCAAGCTAATCAGATGACACAACCTTATTACCCTCAACAGCAGATGTATGGCAACCACAACAACCAATACAACAACCCTAGCTATGGCTATGGTCATGGTCAATCACAAGTGCCCCAATATCTTGAGCAGCAAATGTATGGCCTATCAGTTGGAGATGACATGAGTATGAGCAGTTCGTCTTCTCAGACTTCTGCTTTATCCTATGTGCCTCCCATGAAGCCGGTCACTAAGCCAGAGGACAAACTTTTTGGGGATCTCGTCGACATTGCGAAATTCAAACCTGCGACGTCCGCTCCTGGCAGAGCTGGTAGCATGTGAAATCATTGCTGAACCTTTTTCCTCTGGTTATTTTATACCTCCCCCTGTTTCACATTGCATACATATAGTAGTGCTTTTGCCTTTGGCCCCTCATTCTTGTTGCCTGTTTTGAGTATTATTGAAATCGTGTATATTTCTTGTAGAGGGATGGAAAAAGGAAAAGAGAAAAGGAAAAGGCCTTGGGAGACCACTTGCCTTAAAATTGGACTTTTGTTGATTTATTTTCCCTTCATTTTTTTTTTTTGAAATAAAAACTTTAGTGTAAAGTTCATCTCTGATTCATTTTTAGTCGTTTGAGCAATAAATTTTTTTTGCTTTATCCGTATTAATCATTTGTATCTTCTATTGTTTTGCTGCATTTTCTTTCATGAAAATTATAATGTGAACGTTTAACATTTGAGTTGAGTTGTGAATTTATTTATCTAAGAAATTAAGTCGATATGGTTGGAAGTGCAATAAAGCATAATGATAGTTAGATAAAAGAAAAAATTATTGGTGTATATTTTAAACACAACATTTGCATTGGTTCGAGACATTTTTGGTGAAATTAAGAGTAAAGTCTTGAGAGCTTGTACCTAATGTGAACGATATTATACAACTATGAAGATATGTTTGTTCATTGTCTCTAATAGTTGCTAGCAAATTGTATCTTAAATTTTATTTTGTCCCTGAATTTCTAAATGAATAAATCGATGAGTCTCATAGGCATAGGTAGTAAATGTAACAGTCCAAGTCCACCGCTAACAGATATTGTCCATTTTGGTCCGTTACGTATCGGGCCAAATTAGATAATATCTGCTAGCAGTGAACTTAGGCTGTTCCAAATGATATCATAGCTAGTTAACGGACAGTGTGAGACATTGGTTGAAGTAGGGTCTAGGTGCGAGGCACTGGTTGGAATAGGGTTAGACTCTCCATAATAGGTATATTTTAAAATTGTGAGTTTGACGATAATACGTAAAAGGCTAAAGCAAATAATATCCGTTAGCGGTGAGTTTAAGCTAAAAAATTAAGATTACGTATTTGTGAAAATGCCTTAACTATCCAAATAGGATGAATGGTTAATTGTTTTATCATTTGAAATATAATATATATTCGTTACAAAAAAAAAAAAAAAAAAAAAAAA